ATAGGGGCTACTTTTCAATAAAAATGATAACAAAATATATCGACTTGTAGGATATCACTCAAAGGGCTAAACCCACGCCATGGAATCATTGATGTTAATTAAAACAATTAAATTGGAGGAATAAATAATCAAAATTTCAAGGGAAGACAAATAAATTCTTTAATTGTTATTTAAACGTTTTCGAAACATTTTTTAATTAAGCCAATAAAAATAAAAACAAAGTATATCTACTTATAATAATAACATTGACAAAATTAATTTAAAGATATAAATAAATAAAAATCTCGATTCAGGCAAGGGGATCGTACGACTGAAGGCCATGGAAGGTGTTTCATTTAATGCAAGAAATATATATTTTTATTATATAATTACCAATGAAATATCTATTTTTCCCTATTTCGAAACATTGATATCTTCACACGTGAAAATAACACCATCGCGATGGCTATTCAAAAATACACGGAAAGAATTGCCTGAAAAATCCAAAACATACTTTCATTGATAATTATATAATAAACAGAATATTACATGGGCGCTTGGAGATACGCAATTTATCTTCTCGTGTTGAAAATCTCTCACTCTTTCGCTACGCTCACTCGTGAAAGATCTTTTCAACACTCGAAGATAAATTTCGTATCTCTGCGCGCCCATGTAATATCCTCTATATATCTTTCCTATATAACATCACTCAAATGGTTAAACCCACGATTCATTGATTTCATTTATTAAGACAATTAAATTGAAGAGATAAATAAGTAAAATTTCCCTGGAAGAGAAATAAATTCAATGTTTCTGCTTTATAGTTATTTAAAAGTTTTCGAAACATTAAAAAAGAATTAAATCAAAACAAGAGGGGCTACTTGTTAATAAACGTAATAACAAAATATATCGACTTCTAATAATAATATCATGACAAAACTATAATTAAAAAAAAAATCTTGATTCAGACGGGATCGTACGACTACAATTACAGAAAAAGGGGTCTGTCCATTGAAGGCCATGGAAGGCGTTTCTTTTAATGCAAGAAATATATAATTAATATATAGTTTCCTATATAATATCACTCAAAGGGCTAAACTCACGTCACGGAATCATTGATGTTAATTAAAACAATTAAATTGAAGGAATAAATAATCAAACTTTCTCCCAAAAAATACAAAATAGCTGCGATGAAACTTCTTTTCGTAATTTGAAAATAGCACACATGACTACTGTTACAGAAAATGTGTTTTGTCCATTGAAGGAATGCAAGGTGTTTCTTCAGTACGAACTACATCCCGGACCTCAGCGATATATTTTTCTTTATCATATAATTATCTATAAAATACCTGTGTTTCTCCTTTCCGAAAAACTGATATTTTCAGACGTGAAAATAACATGTTATTTTCAGATGTGAAAATATCGTTATCATGTGTATTTAAGCTATTGGTTTATAAATAAAAACTTTTCATAATAATAAAAAACTTATTAGTTGATTTTATGGATAATTATATAATAAACAGAATATTACATGGGCGCTTGGAGATACGAAATTTATCTTCTCGTGTTGAAAATCTCTCACGAGTGAGCGTAGCGAACGAGTGAGAGATCTTTTCAACGCTCGAAGATAAATTTCGTATCTCTGCGCGCCCATGTAATATCCTCTATATATCCTCACTTTCAAGGGAAAATATCGATGATATCTTTCGATGATGTGTTTCAATAATTAAAATAATAATAATAATAATAACAATAAAAACTTTATTGAGTTTTTCCCCGAAATACAATCGTAAATCTCGTTACGTATAGGTAATTTACAATTGGCTACTTGAATCGAATACAAAATGTGACAAATCGGACAAAAAGAAAAGAAAAGAAAAAGAAGAAGAAGAAAAAAAAGGATATTAGTATATGTAATAGGACTCCATGCTGTCCAATTAAGAAATAATTGGACGAGGAAAATTCCGAGGACTTCCAAAATTGGATTTGGCAGTCAGAGGAATTTTTCGAGTCTAATTATTTCTCGGATTGAGGAGCATGAAATCCCATTACCTATTAATTATATAGCTGCCTAATTAATCTCATATCAACAAGACCTGTCCAATTAAGAAAATAATTGGACAGTTATCTATATGGAATTAATGAGAAGCTTTATACTATATCTGTAACACTGTGAAAAAAATGAAGACTATTAATGCTGCACTAACTCAGGACTCTTCCATTCTTTGTTCCTACAGCAGGAAATATAATATGATGATCTAGTTGCAATATTTATTAACTTTCTGATGATGTAAAGGCAATCATTGTTATTGAAATCAAGGTCTTCTAACATGTTGATAAAATTAGCAGAATTATAGCGAAT